TTTGGTCCAGTATATCATTTAAATTCTTTATTTCCTTGTTGATCTTTTGCTTAGACGATCTGTCCATTTCAGTGAGGGGGGTGTTAAAGTCCCCCACTATTATTTATTGTCAATGTGTTTCTTTGCTTTTGTTATCAATTGCCTTACATAATTGGCTGCTCCTATGTTAGGGGCATAGATATTTACAATTGTTAGATCTTCTGGTTGGATAGACCCTTTAAGTAGGATATAGTGTTCTTTCTCATGTCTTATTACAGTCTTTGGTTTAAAATCTAATTTGTCTGATATAAGGATTGCCACCCCAGCTTTCTTTTGGTGTCCCTTAGCATGGTAAATGGTTTTCCACCCCCTCACTTTCAATCTGGGGGTGTCTTTGGTTCTAAAATGAGTCTCTTGCAGACAGCATATCGATGGGTCTTGTTTTTTAATCCAATCTGATAGCCTGTGTCTTTTGATTGGGGCATTTAGCCCATTTACAATCAGGGTAACTATTGAAAGATATGAATTTAGTGCCATTGTATTGCCTGTAGGGTGACTGTTACTGTATATTGTCTGTGTTCCTTTCTGGTCTATGTTGCTTTTAGGCTCTCTCTTTGCTTAGAGGACCCCTTTCATTATTTCTTGTAGGGCTGGTTTCGTGTTTGCAAATTCTTTTAGTTTTTGTTTGTCCTGGAAGCTTTTTATCTCTCCTTCTATTTTCAATGACAGCGTAGCTGGATATAGTATTCTTGGCTGCATATTTTTCTCGTTTAGTGCTCTGAATATATCCTGCCAGTCCTTTCTGGCCTGCCAGGTATCTGTGGATAGGTCTGTTGCCAGTCTAATGTTTCTACCATTGTAGGTTACATATCTCTTCTCCCGAGCTGCTTTCAGGATTTTCTCTTTGTCTCTGAGACTCGTAAGTTTTACTATTAGATGTCGGGGTGTTGACCTATTTTTATTGATTTTGAGAGAGGTTCTCTGTGCTTCCTGGATTTTGATGCCTGTTTCCTTCCCCAAATTAGGGGAGTTCTTGCTATAATTTGCTCCACTATACCTTCTGCCCCTCTCTCTCTTTCTTCTTCTTCTGGGATCCCAATTTCTCTGATGTTGTTTCATCTTATGGTATCGCTTATCTCTCGAATTCTGCCCTTGTGATCCAGTAGTTCTTTATCTCTCTTTTTCTCAGCTTCTTTATTTTCCATCATTTGGTCTTCTCTATCACTGATTCTCTCTTCTGCCTCATTTATCCTAGCAGTTAGCACCCCCATTTTTTATTGTACCTCATTAATAGCCTTTTTGATTTCAACTTGGTTGGATTTTAGTTCTTTTATTTCTCCAGAAAGGGTGTCTTTAATAATTTCCATGCTTTTTTCAAGCCCAGCTAGTATCTTTAAAGTGATGGTTCTGAACTGTAGATCTGACATTGTACTAATGTCCGTACTGAGTAGGTCCCTGGCAGTCGGTACTGCCTCTTGTTCTTTCTGTTTAGGTGATTTTTTCCGTCTTGTCATTTTGTCCAGAGGAGAATAGGTGAATGAGAGAACAAAATGCTAACAGGGTAACAATGTCCCCAGAAAATATACTCTAAACAAATCAGAGAAGACCTGAAGCCAGGGGAAAAGAAAGGGAAAGAAAGATAAAAGAAAAAGAAAAAGTTAAAAACAAAAACAGAACAAAACAAAAAAAACCAGAATATGATCAAATATGATAGGCTGGTGCATAGATGAGTGCCATATAGTAGATTTTGGGTGTATTTTGGTCTGTTAGAAGAAAGTGCCTCCCAAAAGTTTAAAGAAAGAGAAACCTATATATGTACAAAAATAAGGGTTGATATGATGCAGGGATGGAATACGACTGTAAAGATGAAAATTATAAAAAATTTCATAAAAGGAATTGATAAGAAGTTGTTGGAAAAAAGAAAGAATAGGATTAAAAAAAAAGGGAGAGAATGTGATCAGGTAGGAGACTAGAACAAAACCATACACTAGAGATTTAGGGTATATTTTGATCTGTTAGAACAAAGTGTATCTCAAAATTTTAAAGAGAGAACATGTATATATATATATATATATATATATATATATATATATATATATACACACACACACATATATATGCCAAAAATAAGGGTAATTACTATGAAGGGATAGAATATGACTCTTAAAATGAAAAATAAAAATGTTTTTTAAAAAAGGGATTGATAAGATTTTGGTTGAAAAAGGGAAAAAGAAAAACTCAAAGAAAGACAGTTAAAAAAAAAATTAACTTTGAAAGACTAAAGAATCATGGTAAAAAAGCCATGGATTCTGTGTGCAGTATTCCCCTAGCGCTGGAGTTCTGCCGTTCTCATTGATCGGTAAACTTGGTCTTGGCTGGCTGTTCTTGCTGATCTTCTCGGGGAGGGGCCTGTCGCCGTGGTTCCCAAATGTCTTTGCCAGAGGCAGAATTGCCCTGCACTTGCCGGTCAGGGCTAAGTAATCTGCTCGGGCTTGCTCTTGGGAGCTTTTGTTCCCAGCAAGCTTTTCGTACAGCTTTGGAGGCGGAGAGTGAAAATGGCGGCCTCCCAATCTCTGCCCTGGAGGAGCCAAGAACTCGGGGCCCTGCTCCTCAGTGAGCCCCCAAAGAAAAGCAGTCAATCACTCCCGTCTCCCTGGTCTCCGGCCGCACTCTGTGCTCACCCAGCCTGTGACTGAGCCTTTTTGTCTCTGGCACCTGACCCCGTGTGGAGTCTCCAAACCCAGCAGATCCCTGCGGTGCGCTCCCGCGCCGCTCCTCCCGGGGAAGAAGGTGAGTCTCCCCGGATCTGCTGCTTGTTGGGTCCCTGCTGGAGGAGCAGTGGCCCAACTATGCTGTGGATCATGGTTTATGGCAACCCCGAGCTGAGAGCCTGCTCCTCGGCTCCGTCTCTGCAGCCGGCTTCCCGCTCCGATCCCTGGGAACTCTGCTGCACTCAGGCATCCCTGGTCTTTCTGTGACCCCAAGGGTCCTGAGACCCCACTGTCCCACGAGGGTTCCACCCTCCGCTTAGCCATTGGAGAGACGTCCCTCAGTGGAGCAGACTTCTAAAAGTTCCGATTTTATGCTCCGCGGCTCTATTGCTTGCCAGAAGCGGCCGACGGAGACCCCCTCCCCCGCCATTTATCCTCCTGAATATCGCCTCGGATTCCCTTCTCCGCGTGTCCTTCCTAACAGAAGGTGTTTGCTTTTCTGTTCAGAGAGTTGTTGCTATTTTTTTCTTCGATCTCCTGTTGAGTTTGTAGGTGTTCAGAATGGTTTGATCCCTACCGAGCTGAATTCCTGAGGCCAGACGAAATCCAGGTCTCCTACTCCTCCATTTTGCTCCGCCCCTTCGATTTAAATATTTTTAATTTAAAGACAAGGCAACCTGTGTTGATCAAATCTAGTTGTATGGATAGTTCCATAAATACAGATTGTGCAGTTACAGTGGATACAGCCTAATGGTGTCTGATTAACAGCACTTAGTGATGATCAGTGTTTCTGAGGATCTTCGACAACCTGGACATATGTCCAGAGGGAGCAGCTGTGGAGGAGAGGAAGCCTCACCTACTTGTCTGGCTCATCTGCCAATTCCTGTCCCTGCTGCTTGCTGCAGTACTTTGGTTACCATCATTCACTGATTCCAGAAGTGAGGCAGGGCTGTTCCAGGCACTGGAAGCCCCATACAGGGGGCCTTCTCAGTGCGTGCGGTCACACTGGGGAGCGGAGTGGTGGGTGTGCTGTTTTCAGGCGTTATAGAGGACGAGGAGCAATGTGCAGGCTCTAGAGGCTCAGTCTGGTTCAGGTCCAGTCCTGGCTTCACCACTTACTCATTGTATAACCTGGGGCAGAGACTCTGTTTTGTCATCCTCACAATGGGTGTACCACTAGGGTTTGGAGTGCCACCTACTCAGTATTAGCTGTTATGACCATCTCATACTCATTACCATATTGAAAGAGAAAGGATCCATGAGGCAGACCATGCTTTTATTCTCCATCACATGCACAAAATCTGACACAGTGCCTGAAACACACCGGCAGGTATTCTTAGATGACAGTCATTGATAAGTGGTTTGTGAGGTTAATGGATGGCAGTTGAACAGCAGTCTTCTTTTCTCCGTGTGAGTGCTGAACTAGCTGTGGTGAAGGAGGAGGGCGATGGGGACTGGAGCATCAGCTCAGTTACTGATGGAGTTGCGGGGGACATAGTGTGATGCACATTAACACACAGGTTCCCGTTCCTGGGCACCTGACCGCCTCCACTCCCCCCACCCCCCGAAGTCCTTGATTGCTGCTGCCCAGGCACATGCAGGCCCTCCTAGCAGAGCACTTGCCCCCCACCCCCCACCCCCGCCCCCTGGCAGACCCTTTGTCACCAGAAGGGCAGGCACGGAGCTCGGCTCACGACGGCCAGGTGCCCAGTCAGATAGGCCAGTTCACTTGCCCTGGACGGGACTTTCACTGATGAGTGGGAGCAAAGGGCAGAGGGCTCCCCCCGACAGCTGGTTGAATGGGCGGGCAAGCGTGCATTGTTGCAGCTGTGGAACAGACCCAAGCAGATCGTATCTGGTCTGACGGAGCCGTCAGAGCTCATTCCGTGATGACTGGTCACATAGCCGGAATACATCCAGGTCAGCTTTGGGGCACAGCTGGTCGTTGTATACGTTATGAATGACGCATCCCTCTTCCCTCTCTCTCCTCTTGCCTCCCTCATCTTGTTCTGCAAGCCTCAACTCAGACATCTCCTCTTCAGCGTTGCCCAACTGCCCAGTGCAGGTTAGATGTCTCTTTCTCTTTGTCCCCGCACGTGTTCCTGTCCACACTGGCCACCCTGGCGTGCAACCAGGTGTCCCCCACACTGGGAGCCCCTGAAGAACAGGGACCCATACTTGGCCCCGCGGTCCTGCGCAGGGCCCTTTAGTTGACTGTGAGCCTTTGGTGTTGGGTTCCTAAGAAGGAATCCAAGGTCCTTAGGGGGGTGCAGCGTCTCCCACGGTAATGGTGCTGTCGTCTGTTTCTAGGCTAGGGCCCACCCAGCTCAAGATCTTCACTTGTGAGTACTGCAACAAAGTCTTCAAGTTCAAGCACTCGCTGCAGGCTCACCTGAGGATCCACACCAACGAGAAGCCCTACAAATGCCCCCAATGCAGCTACGCCAGCGCCATCAAGGCCAACCTCAACGTGCACCTGCGCAAGCACACTGGCGAGAAGTTCGCCTGCGACTACTGCTCTTTCACCTGCCTGAGCAAGGGCCACCTCAAGGTGCACATCGAGCGTGTGCACAAGAAGATCAAGCAGCACTGCCGCTTCTGCAAGAAGAAGTACTCAGACGTCAAGAACCTCATCAAGCACATCCGAGACGCGCACGACCCCCAGGACAAGAAGGTCAAGGAGGCCCTGGAGGAGCTCTGCCTCATGACCAGGGAGGGCAAGCGGCAGCTGCTTTACGATTGCCACATCTGCGAGCGCAAGTTCAAGAACGAGCTGGACCGTGACCGCCACATGCTGGTGCATGGGGACAAGTGGCCCTTTGCCTGCGAGCTCTGTGGCCACGGGGCCACCAAGTACCAGGCGCTGGAGCTGCACGTCAGGAAGCACCCCTTTGTGTACGTCTGTGCCATATGCCTCAAGAAGTTCGTCAGCTCCATCCGGCTGCGTGCCCACATCCGCGAGGCGCACGGGGCCGCACAGGAGACTGGGGTCTTCACCAGCTCCATCAACCAGAGCTTCTGCCTCCTGGAGCCTGGCGGGGACATCCAGCAGGAAGCCTTGGGGGGCCAGCTGCAGCTGACAGAAGAAGAGTTTGTGTTCCAGGGAGTGAATGCGCCCAAGGAGGCGGCCTGCTCCAGAGATGCTCAGCCTGAGGAGGGACGGAAGGAGCCAGAAGCCTCTGTGGAAGAGCCTGCCTCTCCTGTGCACTTAGCCACTCCCCAGGCCGAAAGCGCTTCCCTGCCACCCTGTGAGCTGGAAGCTGCTGTGGACTCCGCGGAACTTCATTCGCACTCGGTGGTTTCCGATCGGTTTTTGTTGAAGAATGATACCTCCTCTGCCGAGGCTCACGCTGCTCCCAAGGAGACCTTGGATGCCCCGCACAGAGCCTCCTCCCAGACTCAGGGCCAAGAAGTCACACCACTGCTGTCTGAGGCCAGAAGCGCAGAAGCAAACCAGGACATGCGGGGTGCTGAGAGCCCCCCGGGGGTGGGGCAGGAAGTGGCCGCCCCCCCACCCGAGGGACCAGACCCTAGTAAGTGTCTCAGGTCAAACCCAGGTGAGGCCTCAGACCCTGCTCTGGTAGCGGGTGCAGGGTACCTGGCCCTGCCCCAGCCTGACTCTTGCACGCCTGCCTCTGAGCACCGGGCAGGCATCAGCGCGTTCATGAAGATCCTGGATGGTTTACAGAAGAGACGGATGAACACCGGTTTGTGTGAGAGGATCCGGAAGGTGTACGGGGACCTGGAGTGTGAATACTGTGGTAAGGAGAGGCAGAGCTGGGCAAGCAGCCGGTTGAGCTCCGTTCCTGGCAGCCCCGCCTGTCCCCAGCTTGCTTTGGGTCCCCTCGTATTTGATTCAAGCTCATGTCTCTTTGCAAAGAACCGCTTCTAAATGAGCTACCCTTCTTCATCTGTAGATAGCAGCAGGTGCTGCCATTTAGCATGTGGAGTCTCTGTGGAGGCAGCCAGGGGGACTGGACAGTTAGCCTCACCGGCGTGGTCCGGCGTGTGCAGCGGTTTACCCCACGCCCTCTGCCAGAATGGGAACGAAGGGGAATTGTTCTCCTGGCACACGACAGGTGTAAAGTGTAGCTGAAGTTGTGGCCTTGTCAGCGCAGCTCTCTGTAGGGAACCCCGAATAGAGCCCTTCTGGCTCACGGTGCAGGCCTGGTCTCTGAGTCTCCCGGAGAGCTGGAGGTCCTGGCCGTAGGAGGCCTGGCTCTGGCCTGGGTGTCAGTAGTGTGTAGAGACTCTGGCTTACGCACGCGCACAGCCCTCTTCGGCGCTGTCCTTGGTCCTCAGCAAGCACTGTTTCCGTCCTCCCAGCTCTGACCTCACGCAGATGTAGCAGCACCTTAAGGTCTACAACCTCCTGCCTGAGCAGTAATTTGCAGACAGAAGTGAGGAAGGTGTGAAGGGTGACCTGGACAGGCTGGAGAGGGAGCTAAATAGAATAGTAAAAAAAAAATCATAATGGGAAAATCAAATTCAGTATAAAAGAAATTTCCCCGTTCTCATGTGACGATGTCTTTTTAGGCAAACTTTTTTGGTACCAGGTGCACTTTGACATGCACGTGCGCACCCACACGCGGGAACACCTGTATCATTGCTCCCAGTGCCATTATTCCTCCATCACCAAAAACTGCCTTAAGCGCCATGTCGTTCAGAAACATAGTAACATCTTGCTGAAGTGCCCCACCGACGGCTGTGACTACAACACTCCAGATAAATACAAGCTGCAGGCGCATCTGAAAGTTCACACGGAGCTGGTAAGTAGCAAGCCCGCGGCTGCGCCATCCACCCCGGGTGCTCCCCGCTTTCTAGCCTTGGTGCGTGTGGCGCCATCCTGCTTCCTGGGGCCCAGCATGCAAGCAGGCTCCTCGCTTCCCAGAATGCTTCACCCCAGGATTCCTTTAGCAGGGAGAGTCTCAGATGTCGCAGGATGATTCAGTTGAACAAATTCCCTCTCTCTGCAGATTTTTCAGCATTAGAGAAAAACTATCGAAGATCTGCAGAGTAGAAATAAAGCAAGGATTTGTTAAACTACGTTATAAAGAGTTATTAATAACAGAGGTACTAGTAATAAGAACTCAGTTCGATAGTGCCTGGGAAGCAGTAGGCAGTGTTGGGTTCATGGGGAGAACACGCGAAACAGTGATGACCACTGCCGTCCTCTTGTGGGGTTGGTTGTCAACTCTTTGCGAGAGATTGTGAAGCATTCTTATTTAAAAAAAAAAAAACGATAATTTAATCCAAGGGGCTGTTAATATTCATAACGGTAAAACTTGTTTAACTCTTTGGTGGAAGATGATGTAACATAATGAATGACTGTTTATTTTTGCAAATTCTCACGTCACTCAAGGGGCTGACACCCGAGCGTGATTTGAGCCTTCTGCAGGTTATAAAGGAGGTCCCCCCCCCCCCGGCCCCAGGTGTGGTTCTGCTTTAATGGCATTCCTTTTTATACCACAGACAGCGCAGAAGGAGGCTTCGGAAACTTGGTGTGCTTCCACTGTGTTCTGGCGTGGAAATCATTCACACTGTGGCGCTTTGTCACTCCGGGTGAAGTCGGGGTGTTGTAGGAGCAGTGGGGTGGGTCAGGGCCCGTGCTTCGGTGTTAGATGCCTGCCGATGCTGTCTCCAGCACTCATATGGACTGTGGCTGTTGGGGCAAATCACTTGTCCTTTCTGAGACTTGGCAGCCTTCTGTATGTAGTATTTATTAAAAAGTATATATTCATATTCTACACATACGTGTATATCTACATATATATGCACGTATATATTTACATATATGCGTATTATACACACATGTACACACATTTGCATACACACGTTTGATACATGCTTGCAGACACAGTGTATGTTTATTTCTGCATATAGCTCTCCCGGGTTCCTGGGAGGATAAGGTGGAATGTTCTGGCAAGAACCTAGCTCAGTGATTGTGTTGTCAACCCTGTGCCTGCTACTGCCTATCACCTGGGACCTCTTAGCGCCTGTTTCTCTCTCTTTCTGAGTAGGACACGGAGGCAGGCTCTTCCTGTTTCCTTACAGAATTGCTGTTAGATTGGTCGTGTGTCCAGTACTGTCTCAGGGCGGGGGACACTGGGGTGGCAGAAATCATTATGATAACTTTGCTAGAAACGCATATGAAGTCAAGTGGGAGGGCGGCCAACATGGGGACAGGGTGCTGGGGGCAGCCTTGGGGTGTAGCAGTTAAGACCAGGAACCAGACTGTGGGTTTTAGCTCTGGCTTCCCCAATTGGCATGCATCTGACTTCAAGATGAGTCATGTAATTGCCCTGTGCCCCAGGTTACCGATCCTTAGGAGGGTGAGGTGAGAGAATATACGTAAATGTCTCAGAAGGAAGCCTGAAATCGAGTAAGCACCATATGTCACTATTAGAATTGCTAGTATTTATTCTACTTATCATTTGGGGACTTGTTGCTCTGCATCGAGAGACTTTGAAACAGAGGCTGAAGGCTGACACAGAAGAGGAAGTTGTAAGAGCCCTTCAGTGTGTGGGACTGTTTTTCCCTTGTCTGTCAGCGTGTGTCAGAGGGACTCAGGTCCAGCCCAGGCATTTTCTTGCCTCTGGATGCTAGTGCTCAGCCTCCTGGCCACATCCCTGGTCCTCATGGTCAGCAGGGCCTGTCGGGGACACGTCCTAAGATCTTAAGCCCCGATTTCATATGGTTTCATTTATCTTGATAAACCAGCATTTATTTATTTATTTATTTATTTAATTTTATTTTTTTAAAGGTTTTATTTATTTATTTGACAGAGAGAGACACAGCGAGAGAGGGAACACAAGCAGGGGGAGTGGGAGAGGGAGAAGCAGGCTTCCCACCGAGCAGGGAGCCCAATGCGGGGCTCGATCCCAGGACCCTGGGACCATGACTTGAGCCGAAGGCAGATGCTTAAAGACTGAGCCACCCAGGCCCCCTTGATAAACCGGCATTTCAAGAAGCTTCTCTTTTCAACTTTCTTTGGTTGTGAATCTTCCTTCAGAGAAGCTGTGTCTGCAGTGTTGACACTTGAGAAGGCGTGTAGGGGAAAGGGGAGTGACGGTGTCGGTTCTCATCCTGTGGTCCGGGCCCCCCTTTCATAATTCTCATGCCACCTCCAGGAGGTGGGAGTGTTTCCTCCGCAGGGCAGATCAGGAGCCTTCTGCACAGTCATTTGGTAGCTCACGCCCGGTCACACGTTGGTCAGGGCAGATGGTCGTGAATGTCAGCCACGCCCCTCTGGCAGGTCTCTTGGAGACTTGCACACCGTTGGAAGGAACGTGCTGGAGGTCGATTTTGTCCCATGAGAGCAGGGGCTGCATGGATACTTTCTGTGCTGTATCTTGTGCTATGATAACGGAACGTCCCTGAGAGTTCCGCGAGAGAAGAGCGGGAATAAGGGAGCATGACTCTGTTGATTTTGTAAACACAGGGCATTATCCTGATTCTCATCAACACTCACATTTTCTTAGAAGTTGTTAAAGTGTGATTCTCCTCCCTGATGTTTGCAGTTCTTCCATTTGAGGCACTTTTAAAGGTGAATGTGCTCCTGGTGCCCTGAAGCTCGCTGACGCAGGCTAGAGGCGCCATCCTCTGCGAGCCAGGCATTGGGATTTCAGACATGAGTACGACCCCCGTCTGCCTTCAAGATGCTCTGTTTCAGGGAGCGGGGGGCGCTAAATAAGAGGACAGCATAGCAATGAGGGACGCTAAGTGAGGCCAACACAAAGTGCCCTTCCCCTCCCACACTGCCCTGGAGAGGTCAAGGTCAAGGTAAAGGAGGGCTGCCTGGAGGAGGGGTTCTGAGCTTGATGAGTAGGATTTGGCCCAGGGAGTGGCAAGGGGGGAGCTCCCAGCAGAGTAGGCAGCACACACCGAGGGGAAGCCTTTCTGTTTATACCAGGATATTGAAAACGTTTCCATGAAGCAAGCAGACTCATTTGCCAACGTAGTTAGATGGCATCATTTATGAAAACAGGTTCTAGTATTTGGAGTTTAGACAACATTTGTCTTTTGAGCCTGTAAATTATTTCTGGAATGAAGCTGAAGTTACCAGGGAAATGTTGACCTGGTGGGGAGATCTTCTGCTAGCTAGCATTGCTTACTTTCCCCTTCCCCAAGCCCTAGGCAGCTGCTCATCTGCTTTCTAGTTCCATGGATTGGCCTGGCTGGAGATTTTGTATAAAGGGGATCATGCAATTTATAAATAATGGCAGAGTGAGTATATATCCTGCTTTCTTTTTTTTTTTTTTTAAAGATTCCATTTATTTATTTGACAGAGACAGCGAGAACAGGAACACAAGCAGGGGGAGTGGGAGAGGGAGAAGCAGGCCTCCCGCCGAGCAGGGAGCCCGATGCGGGGCTCGATCCCAGGACTCCCAGGATCATGACCTGAGCTGAAGGCAGCCGCCCAACAACTGAGCCACCCAGGCGCCCCTATACCCTGCTTTCTTAGAGTTGTGGTGAGGGTAACACGAATGAGCTTCATGATGTAAAGGTGCTGAACAGAGGACTCTGGTCAGGGAAGGGTCTACCTGGCTTGGGAGAGTGGTGCTGTTGTGACCTCACATCAGCCTGGGGCTTGGTTGTGCCCCGGAGAGACAGGCCAGGTGTGTTAAAAGTCTGGCTGGACTTTGGCATTTGATCCAACTGATTCCCATGCAGTGCAAAATTAAGGAGATTTTAAATTGAACCCCTGCGCCACCCCAAATGGGCCTCCATCCAGGTCCATTCTAGTTGCAATAGGACCCTGGGATAATTTGGCTGAGTTTCCTATTTCTGTGACTCTTAACCATGTCTTTGCTAATGATGCACTCAATGATCAGAAGGCGTGAGTACATTCAGTATGGGCTCTCCCACCACATCCTCTCTTTCCTGAAGAACTAGGTGGTGTGACGTATAGTCAGGGCTATATTAGCATCAAGGAAATGTGGAGAGCCAGCCAAGGGTGGTAGTTAATGATGTTGCCGGAGCAAGCCCCCTTTTTACAGCACTGTGCAGAGTTTGTGCAGGGGAGACTCAAAGGATGTCTCTAATGCCAGGGGCTTTGGGCTCTGGTGGGCTGTAGCTCAGACCCCATGTCCACCTCTGTGATCTTGGACATTTGCTGAGCCTCCGCTTTCTCATTTGTAACATGAAAATTAGGTACCATCTCTGGCCTGTCAAGGTCATGGCATGTAAATTAGAAAATGTGTGGAACACCCAGATCAGTTTTTGCAGTCCACAGGTACTGGGCCATGAAACAGTTTAGTTGTGGAACAGTTTAGTGGGTCACAACTAGTAAGTATCTCTTAAAAAATGAAATGCCATAGGCAAGATGGCGGAGGAGTAGGAGACCTGGATTTCGTCTCCTCTCAGGAATTCAGCTGGATAGGGCTCAAACCATTCTGAACACCTACAAACCCAACAGGAGATCAAAGAAAAGAAGAGCAACAACTTTCTGAACAGAAAAGCGACCACTTTCTGGAAGGTAGGACGTGTGGAGAAGTGAATCCGAGGCGATATTCGGGAGGATAGACGGCGGGGGAGGGGCCTCCGTCGGCCGCTTCTGGCAAGTGATAGAGCCGTGGAGCACAAAATCGGAACTTTTAAAAGTCTGCTCCGCCGAGGGACATCACTCTGGTGGCTAAGCGGGGGGTGGAACCCTCCGGGACAGTGTGGTCTCAGGACCCTCGGGGTCACAGAAAGACCGGGGGTGCCCGAGTGCGGCAGAGCTCCCAGGGATCAGAGCGGGGAAGCCGGCTGCAGAGGCGGAGCCCAG